GTAGTGTAAGGGATAAGAGCACGGTCCCCGGAAAGGACAAGTACGGGTTCAAGTCCCGTCCGAGGCTGAAGTTTTGTCCACAAATCGCCAACCTTGTGAGACTTTCGGATCGCGTACTGCGGCGAATTAACAGCAGTTAACAAAACATCAAGTCAATATGTCAGGAATCTCAACAAAAATGGCTGAAGAAATAATGATAGTTTCTTGACAGGCGGACGAGTTTTCAAGAGAATTCAGTGTAAGGTCAACTTCACAGTATCCGACATTAAGGCTGATAGTACCTGCAGCTCTACCATCAGTTACCCCTACCCCGTCTCTTTCCATCTCATAGAATTTCCAGTCACAGCAAAGAGGGACTGTAGTAAGGGGTGTATGCATGTGTTGGAAAGTAGACTGAACAAAGGTCTGATTAGATTTGTAAACGTTGAGAGGATTACGATATCGATCGACTACTTCTTTTGAAATTCAATATGAATAAAATCGGTTCAGAGGAAGCAATAGCTAACCTGAGTGAATGAGGACCATGGAAAGGATTGATGGTGATTATGCCGATAAATGACGTAAGATTGGATGATGCCTAATAATAACTCTGGTTATATACAGAATAGAATAACGGACAGTACGCATTGGTAGAATAAATCAGCGTCAACTTCAATGTATCACAGCCATTGGTGAAAGCGACTCCAGTCACTTAATAAAGTACAAGAATTTTGTACAAATCAGTGCAAGTTAATGCGAAGGCGTAGCAATAACTATCGCTGGTAATACGTAGTCGATTTTTGGATCGATTTCTGATCATATACCAACTTGATCAACATCATTTGATCCTTTCAGACTTAACCCTACGAAATCAAACTCGTTCCTTTGGAATCAAGCCATTTACTTGCACAGCCGCTGGCCTCCTTACATCACTGTATTGAGAAAAATGTTCATTCAAGTACAGTTACAGAGGTAACTCGGCAGTGAGGCTCACATCAAAAACTGAACGAGCATTACAGTGACTTGAGTCAACGCTTCGTTAGACATATCATACTCACGGAAGTCTGTTGGTTGTTCTTCTGATCGCGAGTAGTGTCATACAATCTACGGTCGAGTTTATACACCTACCCCCCTCCCCACCACACAGCCCCTCCCCTTCTACACCTCGCACAATCGCGAACATCGGGTTCTTTGGTTCACTCCTTTTCTGACCTTACTAAAAAAATTCCATTCGAAATCGTGCTTAGAAAGGGGGTTGACGCTTCCTTCCTTTACGCGGGCGGAAGTGGTGCAGTGGCAAGTGGCGCTTTTACACACACATGACTCGCGCTTAAAATCCCGTCTCGGTACCGGCCAAGTCGGTCGAGACGAAGCCTTCCATTCCTTCTGGGCCAGTCAATTGGCACCAGAGTCGTCTAAGAGGATAAGTGCACGGACTTCAACATCTACTGGCCACCGTAAGCAATTATGTAGGCCGTATATGCAATCAAAATGCCACTACAATTCTGAATGGAAGTCGAGTACGAGGCTCATCCCAAAAATGCTGAAAGCTATAAACCTTTTTTCTTCTACATTGATGCAACTTGCTTTTCTGGATCTTTTAGTCACATTCGGCCCAAAAAGAGAGAAAATGGTTGGAATGAAGATAATCCAATAGTTTATTTCAATAAATAATCTCTGAGGAATGGGAATGGCAAGTGAGGAGGGCATTTCTCGGCCCTCAATCGAATCATATTTTGAGCGCATTATAGAAAATTTCCTGAAGAAAAGCACGAGATTTCGATTTAAAGCGGTATTCGTCGAGCAGCTCGAGAACGTCCGCATAAAGGCATGGCCACTCGAACAGCCATGGATATGAACTTCGAAGCCTCAAAAATCATATTCAAGCCCAACACAATTGATATATTCCATGGACAACTAACATGAGCAGCTTCTTCTCTGGTGTCGACTGCTGAATCTCCAGCATATCCACTTGATCCAGAACTTCTTGTCGTAGTTGAGAAAGGTCATCTCGTTGAGGAAGAACGAAATCTTCTTGAAATACAATTATAAATCACGATTTCCCGGGGATATCTGAAGCCTGTGCAAACTGTCTGACCCTTTGTTTCCGAACTACAATAGAAACAACGAAAGGTTGAGTGGGTGATGCTGGCATCGCTCCGTTGGCTACGGCTGTGTCCACTTCGAGCACCACGATCTTCCAACTAACGAAGCTTGTTAGAACTGGGAGGGGTTATCTTTTAAGCGGAAATAGTTACCTCACTATCGACATCAGAAGGATGGATCGGAAGCGACTGATCACCTCCAGGACGTGATGGAAAGATGTTCTGGAAATTAGAAAATTTGGGTCTGGCTCAGTGAATCCCTCTTATGTCGATTGTTCAAAGAAATCAAAAGAAAGCACATTGTTCAACGTCTAGTGCGCCATCGTAATCATCTATCTTAAAGGCACAGTTCACGATGAAAACCGTTTCAGAGGTTTTTTTTGGGATGAACCTGTGATCCAGCACAAGGGACGCTATCGAGCCGGAAAACGGGATAGATAGGGCGTAACAAGAGCCCCGAAACTGGCCAAGCCGACGTAAACTCCCGCAAGCG